GGCACAACAAAACTTTTGTTATGTCAATAAAACTTTGCATTTGGCAAGGAATTATTTGTATTTACTGTTTGTGGATAATCAGTAACGGGACTACGCGGCCTCTTTATGGTGAAAATGAGACGATTTTTGTTCAAGAGTGCTGCATTAAAAGTATATGGACTTTTATTTTTTTTTAAAGACTATACATTTTTTTGCAAAATGGAATTGCGAGGCAAAAAAGAAATGTGAAATAAACTCAAAAGTCTTGGGGCGAATCGACACTAATGAGTCGACGGGCAAAGATAATTACGTGAGTGCGCTTCGCGATCTAACGGGCGGAGTCGCGAGAAATCGGTTTCGCCTCGGTTCTATTATACATATAAGTATATATACTCTCGCAGCGAGTGTTTTCGAGCACAATTTGACGAAGGGCGTGGTTTTAGTGACAAAGTGCGAGACTTGTCGGAGCCCTTGTGATATATCATGAAACACGTGTCTCACATCTTCCTATACACTATATATATATACATATATGTCTGTCGCGAGAACTTTGAAACTTTAAAAGAAATACACCGCATTCTACACGCATTCAAACATATCCATATAAACCACATTTATTCAACCGTTTACATTTTCATTATATATCCGAGAGAAAAAATGTTTCACTACTTTTTATAAATAACATCATATGAATAATTTATTCTAAAAAATATATTTGATTCAAATAATCTATTACTTGACTATTATAATAATTATTTGATACAAATCCAACCAGAAATTGACAGAGTTCACTACTGGCATAGTATTGGTACCAGTACCGTGTCAGTACTACGCCAATAGTAAATTTTTGATAAGAAATAAATATTTATTTGATTAATAGTTAAATAGAAATTATATAAATTTAAAATATGAAATTTTATATAAACTTAAAATATAACATTTTAAATTCAGAGGAATATATATCAAAGATTAAAAATTTTCTTTATGAATTCAATCAATTTATCATTTTTAGACTCTATTTGTATTGTGCAAATTGAAAGTTGTGCATAGATGAATATAAATGTTGATATTTACGTCAAAATCACACGACAAACTTCCTGAAAGTTGGTGGGTCTTTTTAAAAATGACGGATTTAATCGCTGACTGCTTTTATGCATATATATACGACTTTATGTCTATAACATGAATATTGCCTTTAGTCACGCTAACATTACCGTGTTTCTTAATTACCGTCAAGTGAAAAACATTTGTCGTTTTACTTTAGTTCCTGACGTTTGCCAAAGTGAGAGTTGAATTATATATGGATTTGAAAAAAATGTCTGGCACATGACAGGAATATGGTAATGAAAGAACAGAGAATGATAGAGAGATTATAATTTCAAGAGAATAAATTGTGTTTCTTGATTTTTTTTATTTTTTTTATTTTTGTTATTCGTTACGATATTGACAGTTCAACCTTATAACGCAGGTGAAATTGGTGTATATAAAAGAACTTTCAGAACTAACGGAACTTTCTTTTAGAAAACTGAAATTTCTTTTTTACAACTATTAACTTTTGTTTACCCCGTTTATTATTTTAAGATTGTAATTAAAAAATTATATGAAGATGAAATAAAATGTCAAAGAATTTCTATAAAGAAAGAAAAAAATTTCTTTTTAATTTTAATTTTTTTTTATTTCTAATCAGAATTCAAGAAAAACACTACTTTTTCTGGGTTAGAAATATTAAAAATTACATTTCTGATCAATTTAATTTAAATGTACCAGAAATTCTTGAAATCGGATATTTTTTTCAGATATAATATAGGAAAGAGAATCAATTTGAATGAAAACATTTGAAAAAAGTAAGAATTATTTGATATACAATTTAAAAATCAGCAATTGTATGCAGATGAAAATTTATTTTCTCCAATCTAGGCATAATGTTTAGGAGTAAATTGTAACAATATATCTCTTTGTTCATATATTCTTTTTAAGTTTTCCAGTAAATTCTAAATTCTAAGAGCTGGAAATAAATTGAGAGAGCAAGACAGCGAGACAATTATTTCCACTTATAGAGTCTGGAGGTAGATCGTAAATTTCTCGAGGTTCGTACAGTATATGTCTTTATTCGCTTTATCTTGAAACCGCGCGCGTTGCAATAAGGGCAACTGATTATTTCATCGTTTTCACTCGTCGTTGTCGTCCTTTCCCTTCTGAATGTGTCCTGCGCGAAACTCAAGGGATATATATCGGGGCCTCTCTTCCTCTATATCTTGATGGCCTTTTTTGTCACAAACGCAAGTACTGTAAGTTCGTCTTCGGGACGTTTCGCATCTGTTCCCCGTGTGTGCTCGGAATCTGCAATTCCAATGATCCTATCGACGTATCTCGCTATATATGTTCGTCACAATATGTGCCAGGAGGGTACCACAATTCGAAAAATACAACACACACCCGGTGTTCAAAACCTGATGCACGTGTGCCAACTTTACATAAAAAAAAAAATTCAATACATTTACTTTATAGTCAGATTAAGCAATAATTAGATGCATCGAGTTCTGTTGTAAATGTACTTGAAAATCTTATTTTAAGATTTATCTTCTTTTTACATATAAGTAAAATTTTAATTATTTTTAAAATTAACTTCATTCTCTTAAGGAGGATAGAGGCCCTAACATAACCTAACATAACATAAACAAAACTTTAATAAAAATTCTCTGCAATCGTAAACCAATTGTATTTTTTTTTCTGTTTCAGGTGAGTGACAATATTTCAACTATATATATAAAATTTTAACTTGAACTAAATTCAATCTGGTAAGTTACTATACATTATAAAAATTATTATATATAGAAAAAATTTAACAATATCGTTTTTTTTTTTAATCGCATCCAAACTGTTTCGCACTTATTTTTTATCGGATTACAGGGGTGTCTTATTCCCTGTAACCCAAATATTATTCCGCAAGTTTGGTGACAGGTTGAAAGTCACCTGTACAACAACAGGATGTCCATCTTGTCATGGGGATTTCAATTTACAATTCCAAACGATTTCTTCTTCTCCGATCTTGTAATTTTTTCCGCACGTGTCCTTCCTCTTGAAAACAATTCCTCCTGCACTTTTTGTTTGTCGCTTTCTTTGTATTCTTTTTTTTTACCCATATCACATTTGACTCGGATTTCCTTGTTTTTCTCTCTTACATCACTGGAAAAAAACAATTTTTATATTTGATTCAAATAATCGGTTGCTTGACTATTATCAAATAAATATTTTTAAATAATTATTATTTAAGATGATATTTGTTTCAAATACAGAAAATGATTCAAATACGCAGTTTATTTAATTCAATTATTTGGTTTCGAAAATTATTTTGTAGATATTTATTTGTTAATTGTCAAGTAGCTGATTATTTGAATTAAATAAATTTTTTTTTCAATGTGTGACACACAGCAAATCGATCAATAATGTCCTGAAGGAGAAAGGACTATTTGCAATTTATTGGATTTGTGACCTCGCGATCTATGCACAATTCACTATTACAATAAGGTTGCAGAAATCGTGAGTCTCTTCCGTATATGTATATACTCATCTCTTTTTTTTCCTGGAGTAATCGAGAACTCTTTGTCCTCCAATCCTGTTTTTATAACTATATCAAATTGATTGCCTATATAAGATATAAACTACTTCCGACAAGTAGTCGTAAATCGAGAATTGAACAATTTTGTTATTCGATGGTCGCTATTTTAATAATTTTAAATTATATTTTTTATAATATATAATTGAAAATATACTTTTTTAATATATAATAAAAAATTATATTTTTTATATATATAATAAAAAATACTGTACATATTCGTTTAGAGATTGAGACTTGTATATATGGTAAATTGTCGAATGTCGTTCCTTCGATGGGGGACAATTAATTAGAAATTATTCCACGGATATATCAGTCTTCTGATCAGTATCCACTGAGGACGAGACCGACTCAGTCGGTATCTCTTTGATATGTCAACTGTCGAACAGGACCACTTTTGCTTATGGACGCACGTATCTCGTTGAAGTACTTGAGTCCAAATAGAATTTTCGGAACAACATATCAATGTTCTATAAGATAAAAAAAAATATACATATGTATTTAACAATAAAAATAAAACTAAATAATCGCGAAGATAAAATTAAAAGATGTGAGAGCACGATAAGGAACTAAAATTTTCGAGTAATTATATATATGTAGTTATCTTTTATTTTCAGCGGCATGTTGAAAAAGAATTTCCTGCGAGATTAATGAACCAGTTATTGAAAGTTTTACATTTCAATTTCATGTTTATGATGCGATAATTAATTATTTTTGTAGATGTGCTTTTTTATTTTTTTCCATTTTTGAATGTTTCAATTCACACTGCACGGAAAAAATAAATAAATAAATTTTTACTTGTTACAACAAAATTTGTTGTGGTAACAAATATATTATTAATGCAACAATACAGATTTGTTGTATCGAGTAAACAAAATTTGTTAGTTCCAGGATTTATTAAGTCATTTTTCTTCATGTATATATTAGCATAAAATAATGTTTAACGTAAAACAATTAAACGTTTGGTTGATATAATTAAATTGTTTTCTCGATGAATATTTATCGCGTCATTAACGCATCATCAATATTCGGTTTTGCAATAATTAAAATTCCAGTATGACAAAAAATAACAATTAAAATATAGAGCATATAATAAAGGAAGTAAAATTCCAACAAAGTTTTTGCGATTCTGTTAACACAAAAAAAAGTAGATTCCTTGCTGTAAAAAATATATATATTAATGAAAACGAAAATGGCGAGATGTTCATGCTGGTTGGGGAAAAAAAACAAGTTGGGGGGGATATAAGGCGAGGTTAGTTTATATGCGAAACTGTTCGCAATTATGATTTGTCGCATCGTGATCCAGCTGTTGCCTTGGAAGGAAGTACATTTTACAAGAGGAAAAATTCTAACCGGGTTTATTTTATGTTCACTGTCATGGCGTCAAATTGCACACCCGTATATACCCGTGCAGAAATTTTGACCGGGCCCTGGCCAGGGCCAGACCGGGCAAGACCGGGGCCACTTCGGGAAATCTGGCCTGCCCCCGGCCTGGATGAAACAATAAAACCGACCGGGGCCATGGCTCGGGGCCCGATCTGGTTCCCTGCTGGGGACCCGACCGGGGCCATCAAATTTTTCCCGATTTGACCACCATTCAAATGTTTGTGGTATGGTAAACCATACAGTAGTCATCTGCCTAACAATTTAGAGTGGATATTGATTTGGTCTTCAGATTCATTAATTTCGTAGTTTGAATCAATGTCGCCTGGTGTGAGACAATCTTCCATATGGGAACTAAGCGAATAATATTGTTGTCCTAGCTGTGAGCTGATATTCTCATTAACATTCGCATCTTCATGATTTGAATCATCTGAAGCTATAAGGCATAGAATTATATTTAACATACATGAAAATAGTTGTTATCATTATTATTATATAAGAAAGAAAGATCATTCTTATAAAACTAATTTCGATCGAGTGATAAATTCATACTTATACATATTATTATTATAACAAATGTGAAAGAATATATAAGAAGTCAGATGTAATAAAAGAATTTTTAACTTCAATTCGGGATTTTTTCAAAGGAATACTACTAGAACATTTGTAAAACTATAAAAATAAAAACAATATTCATAAAGTTAGAATACAAAATCTCTATTTTTAGGTTATTTTTTATTTGGTAATGTAATATCATGTGAATAATATTTTTTACTTACGACTTGATATATTCGGCAGAGATGAAAATTGGGTTGACAGTCGATGTTTCCGTACACGTTTCGTACTTTTGTGTTTTGGCATATTATTCACAGAAATAAATAATTTATGTATCCAAAATAAAACAAAAGTTAGGCCAAGAAGACTAGAAATGGGAGGTACCGTACGAATACGTAAGAAAAAGGGTTTTCTGAAATAGGCAGAGCAATAGAATAAGTTGCAAGTCGCGGTAGCCTCTTCTGCGCAGACTAACTGTTGACTTACCATCTGGCGGTAATTCAGAATAAAATATTAACACTGATTCTATACGTACGTATATGCTTCGGTAAAATAAATATCTGCTTTTTTATTATCACCTGTTCGTAATATGCGCAGGAGGCTACTGCGTCTTGCAACTTATCCGCCCATTTCAGAAAACCAAATTGTCACGTTCCCCCACTACCTAACGTGTACTTCCTGTTTCTATAGCCTTCTTGAGTTCTGCACTCCTCTATAAAAATTTATTTTTACTTATCTTATTATTGGGGCAACCCGGCCTGGCCACGATCGGGGCCACTAACATTTACTGACCCGGGGCCGGACCAGATAATCTGGCCGGGGCCAGGTCGGAAATCGGGAAGAAGGGTGGAAATTTCTGCACGGGTATATATATATATATTCCTTTCTCTCTCTTTCAATACGTGCAATAAAAGTGTCTTTCAGAACTCGCGGTCGCATGCGTTGCAATATCTATTAATCTTAATTAATGTTGATTGTGACAGTCTATAAGCTGACTTCTATACGATCTACATGATTGTCATCGCGAATGATATAAGTGACCTTTTTTTGTCACGGAAAATGGATGACGAACTAGACAGTTATCCTTTAAACCTTCATTTTAATTATATACGATATATTTTTAACTATATTCTTTTATTTTATTTCTTTTACCGATTTTTATACAATCAGAAAAAAAAATTTGTTTGAAACATCGAAATTTTAGTTGAATTAACCAAAAGTTTATTTGTTTCAATCAAATTCTTTCTTCATTCGAAAAATTTATTATAATAAACCCCAACGTTTAATTGGACCAAATAAATATTTATTTGATTGAAATAAACGTTTGGTTTATTTTAATAAATTTTTCGAATGAAGAAAGAACATAGAAAATTAAAAGGCATTAAAATAAGCTGAAACGCTTATTATTTTAATCCAATTTTGTTTATTTTAATACCAAAATGGATTAAAATAAGCAAAATTGGATTATAATACCAAAATGGATTAAAATAAGCAAAATTGGATTATAATACCAAAATGGATTAAAATAAGCAAAATTGGATTAAAATAATAAACGTTGCAGCTTATTTTAATGCCTTTTAATTTTTTTATGAATTTGATTGAATGAAATAAACTGTTGGTTGATTCAACATAAAGTTTGGTTAACATATAGCTTCTATATTTTCTCAATTATATCAGAAAGCAAATCAAAAGTCTCACTAATTTTTAATTCGTTTTTACTCTCCCCGTTGGTAACACACAGTAGCATAATTCAATTTTCGGTACATTATTTATGAGCGCATCAATAACTCGTCGAAGAAAAATATGACTTGCTTCTTTTCCATCGAAGGATAATTTAATTTTGTATGATAAATAGTTAACAAAAAAAAAAGGTAGAAAGTGTAAAAAATGTAATTCAAAAGGGGAATTGAGAGTCGAGTTGGGAATATCGATGAGAGGAGGATCGAGTCAATGGTATATAACAGGATGGAGACACAGAGCGGATTTATTACACTTGCCGTGCTCGAATAAATAGATTGGAGTCATCACGAGCAAAAACAATGTCGTCCGAACCATTTCGAGTATTTTATGAACTCCGAAAGCCATCCGACATTACTGGCGCCGGGCCAACCGCCGCGGTTTATTATAGTTTTGTTATGACAACCGAGCGTTTCGGTAAATTAATGCCGAAACAAATGTATCTCATCTTAAGAGGGTTTTGAGGTTGTACCTTCTAATTGAACCGGTAAACACCATAAGTTAAGTGATAAGTAGTCCTGTCGACGTACATCACTTTTTTTTTAAAGACAACTTTATAATACAACAAAATTAGTTCACTTTTGAAAACACAATATTTTTAGGATTAATCGTTTTTGAGATGTTTATAGGTTCTATATAAATTTAGTTATATAGTGATTGAATTTTTTCCACTTAAGGAAGAATCAGAAGAAAAGTTAGTCCTAGTATTTTTGTATATTTAATGAAAAAGATGATTTAAATTTTTAAAAAGTTTCGTGAAATTTTAAATAATTTAATTTTTAAAAATTAGAAATTGCATTTAAGTCAAAATTAATAGTTTTTATGCATAGAAAACGAATTAGGTATAACATAACCTAAAAATAATGCTTTTAGGTTATGTTACCTAATTCGTTTCCTATAAAAACTGTTAATTATGATTTAAATGCAATTTCTAATTGTTAAAAAATTTTTGAAATTAAATTATTTAAAATTTCACCCAAGCTTTTTTTGAAATATTTTTCTTTAAAAAAAAACAGGACTAACTTATGTTCCGATTTTTTGTTTGATTCTTCCATAAAGAGGGTTTTTTATATAAAATAAATGTCCTTAAAAATATATTCTCCGCGATAAAAGTTTACTCAGGTGTCAACTCGGTTTGATTGTAGATGAAAGAAAATTAAAATTTTTACAAGTATTTTTACGACATAGGGAAAATGTGAGAATTTAACGAAGAACGTAAAAATGAGTTGCCCACCTAGAATATCATAGTTAAAATGATTCTTATTGGTGCGGCAATAAGAGAAATAAACCATAAGAAAGATGTCGTTAATCTCCGCTAAACGATCTTGGCATCAGGCCATAATACTTTATCATAGCGTATACTCTGTAGATCTATAAACCGTAAAATTCTACTTGACGATTAATAATTCACTTTGAGATGAATAATTTCTATATACGATTATTAAAAATATGAATAAATTTAAAATACAATTAGTAAAGTACACTAAAAAAAATAATTTATTTAATTCAATTAATCTGTTACCTGATTTCAAATAAATATTTAGTTGTATTAAATAATTTTTATTTACTTTACTTGCGTCTTACATTTTTTCCGTGCAGATGTTATATTAATCCAAATACAGTTTATTTAATTTAAATAAAAATTATTTGGTTCAAATAAATATTTATTTGATAATACTCATAAGTAAAAGATTATTTAAATTCTATTTGTATTAATTCAAAGTATATGGATTCAAAAATATTTTTTTCAGTTTAAAAAAAAAGAAAATTTTTAGTTCCAAAAGAATTGTTCAAGAAAACGTTTCTAAACTTAAAAAATATTTTGTCAATAATACAAACTATCAGGTTTAGAACAGTTCTTTTTAAACTTCGTGTTAGTTTTTTTCCACATGTGACAAATTTATCAAAAAATTTCTGTTAAATTCGTGAGAGGCGCAAAATGATTGAAACAAATACTTGTCATCGGTGACGGTAAAGTATTACGACTTTTGGTTTTGCCTGGAGTTAATGACTTATACCCGATGTTGTTTGGTGTCTGTCGCGCCTTAAAGTTATAAATGGTACCGATGACGAGGGGGGGGGGAGAGGGATCTTTTGAACGAATACTTGACATTGGGCTGCAAAAAGAAGGTCACAAAAACAAACTTGACATGCAACATGTTCATTATATACGAAATGTTCATGTATTTTTTTTCTTTTTTTACAAAATAAAAAAATAAATAAATAAGAAAAGTAACAAAAAAAAAAGAGAAAGGAAAAAGTAGATAAACAAAGGCTTAAATCTCATCATGTCTTCTCGTGACTTTCATATATAGAAACGCCGTAAATCGAGAAATTTATCTCATTTTAATGATCATATTTCACATGAAGGAGAAAATTAATACTAATTTTTATACTCAAGTTTATATTCCATAAGCTCCGATGGTCTCGACTTTTATTAGCTTCATGTTTCTTTATACTCGACATTTTTGCTTATTGAATATTTTCCATCCCATATAGACCATTTTTAGGGGTTATTAAATATCAAAATAAAGTAATTTACAAGTGTCTAATATATAAGTCACTTTTCCCTCGTTGCGAATTAAATTCTTCGGGAGACCCCACCAGAGGCGGAGAGTAATTTGCGTAACACAAATTGATCTTTTTTTTTTCTTTTCTTTTTTTCTCTTGGTTTTTCTTTTTTTTTTTCTTTAGTAAAAAAGGCAAATATTACACGTGCCCTTTGATCAAGATAGGCTGTAAATAAATGTCATAAAATTTTAAGTAGCACTTTTAGCTCCAACCGCCAAGAGTCGAAGACCTCCCTGACATAAAATACAGCTTTACTATCGTAAAGCACTCGGCACGTAGTTACCAGCTTACAAATGACTCTCTTAATACCAGTTGTTCACTGTATGCATTTTAGTTCTCTTCAGTCATAACTTATACTTTCCTGACCAGTTCTACGTATATATATATATATATATATATATATATATATATATACAAGTGGCTATAAAGGAAAAAGAAAAACCTTATAACCCTTTATATAAATCATTTTCCATTTTATACGCGCAGCACTCATCCGTTATATGTCCAGTTCTTTCAATCATTCGAGTAATAGCCTCACTCGCGTATGCCATACCTGATTAGTGATTATGATCAACTCTCAATTCGCACCCTGAGAAAATTCCTTCTTCACTTCCATATAGAATCCTTTATTGACTTTGATTATTTTCACACACTCACTTCTTTTTCCTATCTCATTTATATTTATTTTTATTACTCTAATTTATATTGTTTTTAATTTTTATTACTCTAATTTATGCGTGTATTATTTTTTTTTACTAAATTATATTCTTAAATCTTTAAGTACAAAATTTAGCTTCATTTTAATTGTAAAATTACATTGAAATATTGCAAATATTTCTGCAATATTTATTATGTTCGTCATGTGGAATATTGCCTGTGAATATTCAAGCAATATTGAGGTAATATTGCTTGTCAATATTGTAGCAATATTGACTGTAATATTGCGATTATGTTCGTCATGTGGAATATTTCCTGGCAATATTGAATTAACATTGTTTTGTAATATTGCTGTCAACACTGATTATGTCCGCCTTGGGTCGCAATATTGCGACAATATTATCTCAATATTGCAACTCAAGGCGGATACAATCAGTGTTGACAGCAATATTGCAGAGCAACGTTAATTCAACCCACTTGGAAAGATTCCCCGGAAAGTGCCCCCTGGAGGTTCTATCAGAATTCCGCCGAAACTTCCGGAATTCCATCGGAGTTCCAAAGAATTTCCGATGGGATTCCGACGAAATTCTGACGGAATTGGGACTCTAAAAATTTTGAAAAAAATTAATCGGAATTCCGACGGAAGTTCTGGCGGAATTCTGATAGAACCTCCAGGGGGCACTTTCCGGAGAATCTTTCCAAGTGGGAATGTTGGCTAAATATTGCCAGGCAATATTCCGCGTTACAGACATAATCAAATGTTGCAGTAATATTATGATATGTAATAT